TAAAATTTTTAAAAAGAAAAAAGCAAGTAGCTAATTTATATATAAATCGAAAATTTAACGATTGAATCCAATAATTTGTTAGGATTCTTGCCTAAAATCAAATTTGCTGATCAACTGATGTGTTTTTAAAAATTAATAACAAGAAACTGGAAAGCAACCTGATAAAGATATTCCTCAAATTCACAAATATTTTTTTATCAACTATCATATAATTAGCTTTCACATTTATTTTACTTTTATTAAAGATTAGAATGAAAGTAAAATTGTTCTTGAAAGTCGAGAATTATCATTTAATCTTTTTTTCATTATCATTCCGTACATCTCATTTCTTTACCAATTCCATTACCGTAAACTTACTTACGCTGAAACAATGTATTGCATCGTTGAATTGCATGCGACAATCATGCGATAAATATCGTAAGCCGTATATAAGCCATAAATTTTTTGAAAGGAAACAAAATTGTCGCAAATTTTACTTGATTTTTTTTATTTACTTGATTTTTTCCTTCTCTAAATACCGACAATTACAGTATCCAACCTGTTTTCTCAATTTGTATCATGTCTTGCTAATATTCTTTCATAATCTTTAAATATATCCTGTATCCATTAGTTTCAATCATTTCCATGCTATCATTTTAATGTTATTTCCGTCTAATAAATATGTTTAAGTGTTATATGAGACTGAAAAGTTTCATACAATAGTTAAAAATCAATCCTAGCTGATAAAATGAGTTTTGTGAGGAAATTTTTTTGGGACACATTAATATTCTGTTAATATTGCCTTTTTAGATGAAAATGAGAAATTATGCACAAAAACTCATTTTTTACCAGCTGTTCTAATAGTATGAATTCTGTTTATTGGTAACTTGGTTAATCGAAATGTTATTATCGAAACTCTGATTTCATATAACGAAATTAATTTCGCTCTGATTTCATATAACGAAATTAATTTCGCTCTGATTTCATATAACGAAATTCATTTTAACTTCTCTTCTTTTTTATAGAGACGAATTGGAAACACGAACTAGGAATTCTTATGACTTAAATAATTTTTCATGAAAATGAGTGACGTAGAAAATGGCCGCAATGGAGAAATGGAAGAGCAAGAGGATGAGGAAGTGTATGCCAATGAGCAGAATGAAGAAACTATTTCAAAGCTGCAAAAAATCGTAATTTTTCCTTGTACTTTGACATAAGTTCGAGATAATAGCAACAAAGCACAACATGTGACATTGAAGGTTGAAATTTCGCCGAAAGATTATGGCAGTCGTATGACATTGATTGAAATCCTACGTCGAAATGGTGAGCTTGAAGCAGTTCGAGAACAGCGGGAAGGCATATCAGCGTTATTCACAATGCCTCCCAATTTCTGGTTGGATTGGATCGAGTTAGTTGCACTTTGCAAAAAGTTATTAAGAATCCTTTACATTAGCTCCATATTTTCTTGAAAAAGAATTAGCTCTAAAGCTTTGGCATTATTTGAAATATGATACGGTCGTAGAAATAAAAAAAAAAGTGTGGAATTTATTTACAAAGTCACCACTGAAGTTCGATTCTGCGATACGATTCTCACATCATCTTTTCACAATTTCAAGACAAAAAAGCAGTCAGAAAATGAAAAAGTTCTCATTAACAAAACAAATTCATACTGACCTTCGAATTCAGATGAGAGAGATAGAAAACCAAACGTAATGAACTAAAAAATATTAATTTTTAGCTCTAGATATTTCCTTAATACCCATCAATGTCAGCCTTGCTTTATAGAGATGAAAAATCGGCTGGAAGTAATAGGGATCTGATTAAACGACTTTTCGAACGTGCAGTTCGCGATTTTCACAGTCCCGAAGTTTATCTGGAATATGTGCAGTGGGCTTGTGGCACATCTCTTGATTTTGCGAGAGAGGTAACAGAGCACTTGACATATTCATACTAAAAGATTTGAATATAAGGAAGTAAAACATAGGTATCGAAAAATGGGAAATTTTTTGTCTCTCTAGATTTTAGGTCGTTCAGCGCACCACAGTTTTGAATAATAATTCAATTGTATCACATACATTAATGTCCTAGAAAAGACTGCCATATTGTCGTCAAACTGTTTTGCTCATTTGAAAAGCTAGTAAATTGACATTGCATGTTCAAGTGACTAATAAGAGATTTAGTTTTATGGAACATTGTTAAAGTAAAAATCAGTTTCAGTTATTTCTTTTTTATAAGTTTGAAAAACAAGTTAAAGGATTTTGCGTAGTGTTGACAGACAAAATATTTTAGAAAATGGAAGAAGCTGTGGTAAAAATAGGTTTACGAGCTGACTGTGCTTCTTTGATTTGGAATATTTATTTGGATTTTGAAAAAATGATTCTAAATTCGATGAATGGTGAAAACGAAGACAAGCAGAGGAAGCATGTGGAATCGCTTTACGGACGATTGCTTAGTGTGCCACATTTGGGTATACAAGAATCATGGAATGAATATAAATCATTCGCGGGTAACTTTGATTTGAGTGTAATTTGTGTTTAGTTTTCTTATTTTAATGATGGGATATTATTAATAGAAGGTAGCATTATTTATTTGTCAAATCCTTTCCTCTAGAAATTATTAATTCTACAAAATTGATATAATTTAAATTATATGCTCCATTTTTGATTTTATTGAGTATGAAATACATAAAGCAGTGAGTTTTTTTTTTCTTTTTTATTCAACAGTCAGGACAAAATGACACACTAAATATGTCAGAAATGTTGCTGTTGCTGAACATAGTTGTTGCAATTTCAGAGGGTAAGGAGTCGGACCAGTTTCGTAAAACATTTGAGAGTGCAGCGAAACACGTGGCAGATATTAGTGAATTTGAAGAGCGTCTGGAAGATGCCACAGAGGAAAATGAAAAATTATCAGTTCTAATGGAATATATAGCCTTCGAAATGCAAAGTAACTTCAGCTTGTTTTGTCGATGAATTCATGTTGTATTCAGATCATATCTTGGAAAGTTTATTTAAAATATTTTGTTATAAATAAAACGCATATTTCAGTGAACGATCCAGCAAGAATTCAAATGATTTTTGAAAGAACACTTTGTACAGTTGCTGCTTCTCCAAATTCTGATCTCTGGTTGCAATATGGTAATTGGCTGGATACTTCGTTGAAATTGCCACAGGTTAGGGACATGTTTTATTGTAGTACTGAGTTATTTATCGGTTCTGACATTCAATAAATATATTTTCTCTGCTATTACTCTTATTTATTCACATCTATAAACATTGCATCTAACACTAACATAAATATGTTATTCGACCCTCTTGCAAAATACAAGATTTAAGGTTTCTGTAGACGTATACGAACGTTCTATACGTCATGCACCATGCTCAACACTCTGGCAGCAATATTTTTCCGCACTCGAACGATCAAATGCCTCTCCTGAAGAAATAGATGTCAAATGGGCAGATGCTCGAAGTACAATAACAACACAAGACGAAGGATTATCTCTTTATCGTACCTATATATACCTGCTTCGACGACGTGTTGCCAAGCAAGGTATGCTTTTCAGGTTGCCATCCATTTACAGATATCATGCAGAAAACATGCATGTAAAACTTCCATTTCTATTAGAAAATTTCCTTTTGCCAAAAAATCGTTCAATCGCAATTTTACATATGACAGCATATTAGCATAATTGTGTAAGAGTCTTCTAAAGTTCAGGAAAAAAAGTTTGTGTTTAAGTTCGACTTATTAATGGTACCAAAATTTTCAAACTCTTAATACTCTTTGATCATCATTTTTCGTAAATCTTCTGTGTAAATCTTTCATTGTTGTAGGTAACGGTGATTATACAGTTGTGTTAGAAAAATTCGACGAAGGTGCAGCTTTTTTGGCCGAAAAATTTGGACCTCATTGGGACAGTCCAAAAGGTCATTATCGTAAAAACCATGCCCTCTTTTTATATACGTCGGTAAAGCAGCCTGAGAAAGGTATTTTTTCAAGTAATATCTTTTTTTTTTCAACTTTCATTTCTATATTACATTATTTCACATAATTTCCGTGTTTCACTTTATAACAATTTTGAACTAAATGGTATATTATAGGATGATAGGAGGTTGATCAGCAGATGTTGTTTAACTAGCAACACTTTGAATCTTTTTATTGTGAGCTATATCAGATATCATAATTATCTTAAGTGTTAGGATTACTGCTCTCTTTTTAGCTCGAAAAATCTGGAATGATATTTTGGCATCGGGAAGTGGTCACTTTGCAGCGGCCTGGATTGAAGCTTCTAATTTAGAACGTTTTTTTGGTGATGTTAATATCGCTCGTAAACTACTTTACAAAGCTATCAATTCAGCAAGCGATCATCCATATATGGTAAGTACACTCAACTGTGCTTCATTCTACTTGTTCTGGTTTAAAATAGGTGGAAGTCAAAGTGTGATTCGAAACCGCCTAACTTTATGTAGGGAAGTTATAACTTATTCTTTACGAAAGAAAAATTTTTTTCAGGTCTTTGATGCTCTTATTCAGTTTGAAAGAGAAGTTGGTACTATCGAAGAGCTGGACAAGGCGCTGGAAAAGGTTAACGCTCAAGCAGCTCGGATTTCATTGAGACCGCAAAAGAACAAAGTGGAAAAAAGTAAAAAGAGGAAGAAGGAAAACGATGAAAATGTTGAAGTCAAAAAAAGGAAAGAGGATGTGAAAGAAAAAGAAAAGAAAGTCATAATGAATAAGGATGAGTTTTTAAACGACACAGCAGAAACTACTGTAAAAATTCAGCGAAAGAATGAGGTATTTTTTAGAAAAAATTGTAGAGATGGAGAGCGCTTTCGTTGTTTTGATGAAAAGTGATGTAATGTCTCATTTTACCTTTCGTTATGTTATCAAGCACATTATATCAGGAACGAAGGGAGGTGCTAAAACTCAAAAAAATGGAATTCATATTTGGCTTAAGTATAGAAAACTAGAAAAAGAAAAATGGTTCTGAAAAAAATGATATTTTCGGTAGTCCGTTTTATTGGAACTGTATTTAGAATACTGAGTTGTTTGAGTTTCAGAGAAGTTTGTGGATGGTTATCACCATTTACTGGAATGTTAATAGTTTTGAAAACACAGTTCAAGTTTGGAAATCGTTTTCATATTTAATACTTATCTGGCTTTGATTAACTTACCATTATTAAATAGCTTTTAGGTGATAAATATCGATAAAAAGCAGGTGGATGGTGATGGTTTTATAGTTCCGCAACTTCCTCTACAGTTACCGAAGTCAAAAATAACATCAGGTCAAGATGTCAGTTTAGAAGGAACAAGCAAAGAAGCTTCCGAAAAGCGTCATACTATATTTGTCTCTAACCTCGATTTCAAGTTGCCAACAGAAAGATTGAAGGAAGTGTTTCCGAATGCGAAAGATGTTCGGCTAGTCTACCGGGGGATGAGCAAATTGCACAAAGTGGGCTCTATATAGTTTACTTTATAGACTTTGTATTATTTACTCCGTTCTATTAGTTCAGTTGCTGTAGTTTTTAAATTTGATTATCCCACCGATATGAAACTCTATTTGGTTAACAGATAAATTCTGTTCTGTTTATCATTGTTTGTTCAACTCAATAGGAACACTGACATCATTTTAAAAATAAATTTATTCTTGATGGTGCATATGAATATGATTATTTGTATTTAGGAGGTGGGTAAATAATGGATCTTTAATCAAAAAAGTGAAATTGCTAATATTTCAGGGATTTGGCTACGTAGATTTCTCAACTGAACTAGAAGTTCAAGAAGCTTTGAAAATGGATCGAAAGCAGATTGACGGCAGACCGATGTATATTTCAGAGTATAAACCGCATGATAAAGGAAAAAATGCTGAATTTCGTTACAGTACAAGTCTAGAAAGAAATAAAATTTTTGTTAACAATGTCCATTATGATGCTACCGAGGAGCAACTTAAGGTTTGTACTCCTTTACATTATGAGCTATCTTTTTTTCTTTCTGCTGTTCAATCCTTACATTTATTGTTTAAGATTCAATTAATTTTGAACAAAACGCTCGTCAAAAAATATACTTTCACATGGAACTATGTAAAATGTCTGGTAAATTCCCAAACTGGAAAATAAAGATTCCGACATATCTGTCATGAAAATAGGAGCAAGACAAAAGATATCAATTTGTTTTTTTTTTTCTTTTTTAAAGGAAATATTTACAACATTTGGTATAATTCGTGATGTTCGTATTGTGACACATAAATCTGGTAAATCGAAAGGTTGCGCATATATAGAATTTGAAAACGATGACGATGCTGCGGCGGCAGTGAAAGCTGGCGAAGATCTTATTCTTTTAGGTTTGTTTAATAATAAATACTCATATTTTTGTATTTATTTATATATGTACATATATACATGTAAAATATTCTTTGTAATATGAGTATTTCTTATTACCATATCTTATGATTTCCACTCTTTCCTTATTAGCAAATGTAGATATTTCATAACTGCTGAACTGATTTTAATTATCATTTTCTAATATTGCCATTATTGCTATTATTCAATAATTTTATCTTAAGCAAGGCAGTTTTTTAATCAAATATGGTCTTCAGAATGACTACATTAACAAACTGAAAATATTTTTATTCAAGAATTATTGAAGATCTTGTAATTGACAAAACATTACAAATGTCCATGATTGATCGAGAGAATAATCAAAAAACAGCTCATTTATAGTAAAGTGGCTGTTCTGCTTACTGAAACCAATGTGAAGCATTGTCAGTGCAGTGTTTCATGTGTTTCATAAACCATAACATTTATGGTTTTAATTGACGTTTATCAGACTTTTTGTCTGAATGTTTTAAGTTTTGATAATTTCCGCTGGCTTGTCGCAAAGTATGTAGATTTTTTCGACTTCAGGACCAAGTTTTATTAAGTGAAACTTTGTTCTTCAGGTAAAAGCAGAGTGATATGCTATTTTATGTGCAGTCTGAGTTTAAGGGCACTATTTGCGTATAATTTTAAATTTGTACTGTTTTATTTTGCGCTGTATTGATGGGAACAGTTAAGCCCATAAAATACACACTGCATAACGACTAAGGCTAAACGAGCCCTTAAAATACATTTTTTAATCTTTAGTTTTTTGACTGTTTTTTTTTAATAGGAACAAATATTAACTGGTTTTTAGATTCTTGATAGTCTTTTTCTTTCCACGAAAACAACAGTTTTATCATGCCTATGCTAATATCTATGAAGTCTATGTACTTTGCAGAGCGAAAATTATCAGTTGCGATAAGTAACCCACCGAAGCGAAAGGAGCAACTGCAGCGGTTATCATTCAATACAACTAGTTCTGTAAGTTACCTTTTTTGTTTTTAAAAAATCTGTAATCACTCTTTATATTTGCTTGACTAGCTCACAAATATGTGCATTTTTCGTAAGTGTCTCTACAGCCAGCTGAAGGACACTAATTTTAACTTTGGTTTAGAAAGAGCTTGAAGCTGAATTCTGATGAACTTTGCGTCTTTTAACGGGGTCAGCTAGTCAAGGGTTATCCTTAATTATTCTTTTTTATTCATTCGTAAAATTGCTTTCGTGATTTCTGATTTAATTATTTCTAGTTCCTCAAGATTTTTCATAGCGTAAGAGACAGTTATTTGAGCATTTGAGATTTGCCGAAAATTATGGTTTTATACTGTCATTTATAGTCGCATCAACGAAGCAAAATAGATTTGATACCGCGAACATTGGCAAAAACCGTAAAACCCGTCAAATCAACTGACGATAACCGTAATAGTGGCAATGACCTGGGAGTTTCAGTCAAAAGCATGTCTAATGAGCAATTTCGATCTTTTTTGAAATGATTTAGCATTCTTCCCTTCATTACCTTGTTAATGTTGTTTAGTAATTTTGACAAACCACATGAACGAGTATTTGAATCTTAATGTTAGTTTACAAAATTTGAATTTCATGGCGATTCGAACTTCAGCAGACAAAAATCACAATATTCTTATCGTAAAAAGTCGTATTTTTTTCCTAAGCTGAAAAAAAAACGCTGAGGAAATTTTCAAGTTCACTTCAGTTTTAAAGACAAAATTGAATTTTCTTAGATTGGGGAAAAATTATAATACTTTTTTCTTTAATCTGAAGATTGTAATATTTTGGGACTTCCCTGAATCCTTTTGATTGGTAATAAAATAGTTTGAGCTCCATAGTAATAACACTGTAACTAAGGTGTAAGCTTATCAGTCTTTATTTCATGCTTTTGTTGTATTCCGATTTATTAAAACAGATTTGTCCTTTAAATATAATTCAATAAATTCGGTAATCTATTCATTGTCGTCTTAATGAGCTTTTCATTTCATAGTTGCATTTTAATTAATTAATTAAACTTAAATTTTGTAACTTTTTTGAGTTTCGGATCGTGCATGGAATACATCTTTACAATATAAGCCGTGAAGTGTCTCAAATTAGATGAAGGGAGTGTTAATGTACAGCTGTGACTCGTGCAATCACTAGAATTGATTAATTGACTACTGAGGTCTTATGGTTACAGGGAACAAATAACTTGAATGAAGGAATTGATCTGGCTCGCATTCGAATTTAGATTACATTAAGAGCGTTGTAGTGAAGTTTGAACTTAACTTGCTTTAAGCTTTATTATTTACATGATAATAGCAGTAATAAATGATATTAAATGAGAAAAAAAAATTATAAATTCCATTATTGAAGCGGAAGTTTCGTAATCTCTACATACGAAGTATATTTTGATTGTATGATATTTTTTATCCCACTATGAGATGAATAATCCCCCAAAATAATGCAAAAATAGTGAATTGTTGGTCTAGGAATCTTTGTTTAAAAGATAACATAAGAAATAATTCCTTAAATTTTTTCAATTAAAATACCCTGAATTCCTAATATCAACATGTATAAAGAGAATAGAAAAAAAATACGGAAAATCGAGTACTAGTGAAAGTAGTAATAAAGAGGGAATATCACAGATACAACTATAATAGCAGTAAAAATAATGGGAACTGTCAAAATCAGTAGTTAATTTCGCAAGTAAAAGTTATCATTTAATAATCACTACAAAATATGATAAATAAAATAAAGGAAAAGAAACACCACTTAACAGTGTGAAATATCGATAATTTCCAAAATATTTTATAGTTTACATGGAATTAGACTTTCTAAACAGGTAATATAAAATTAAGTGACGAATTCTTCGCAAATAATGATTTGTTATTGTGTTATGTAGTCACAGGTATGAGTTGTAATGATGAATATGGATAATTGCTTTATACATCGCTGAAAAATTGAATTTATTTCATATCATCTTCTTTCTACTTTTTAATCTGATAATTCTAAATCTGAACCAATAATTAATATATTTTTATATTCAGTTCGAAACTCTTGCATTAACAAAATTCATAAAATAGTAACTGAAAAGTTTGGCATAAATATTCCTTAATAAAAATTATTGTAAGTATTCTTTCCGCTAAAAAAAAAAAAAAAAGATAAAATTCGCTAGAGAAAAGTTTTAATCAATTAAAAAATTGTGATATTTGTGAGGAAATAAATTAACGATTGAAGAGAAACATACGAGGTTTCCAGATGATTATCCATGATGAATTTCAGTAATTCTTGCTGTTTAACGCAATTTGTCACTTCAGCACCTTTATTAAATGCTATCGGTATTGAAACTGCGGTTGCGGAAGGAAGAGCAGCGGTAGCGGAACCAAATCCCGCTCCATTCTCTTTACCATTTAACGACGGTGGTGGTGCATCAGGAAGTGGAGGTGGAACAGTTATCGTTTCTTTCTTTTCAATTTCATCAATATTCTCATCACTAAGTTGAATTTTCAGAGTTCGCGTATCTTCCGCTACGTCCTCCAATTGTTCTCCTATTGCTACTGCAAACAAATACACATAAATCTCTCTCTCCCTCTCTCTTCCTCCCTCTCTCTCCCTCTCTCTATCTTTTTATGATACTATCAATTATTACGAATTAGAAGTTCAAATTATTAAATGAGATCAAGTGATTAATTGCAATATTTTCTTTTCTAAATTAAGAAAAAATACATCTATCTATTTTTTTTTTCTCATTTACTTTATAATATTTGTCTAATAATATTAGAAAGGCTGTTTAATGAAATTCTTTAGAATCAAACAAACTTTACCATCTTTATTTGATACAAATATCTAAGCCTATAACTCTATGAAATATTCATTAACAAATTTAAGCCTTATAATAAATTTAATGCTTCATTGAAAAATCTCTTACCTGTTGAAATATGCATATCAAAATCACCTATTGGAGTCATTTCCTCTGTAACAGTAGAACCTTCCATATATGATGAAGCAGTACTGAAACCGGATGTTGATGAGCTGAATGATTCCGATGATGCTACCGTTGATTGTGACTGACGCCGAATATTCTGCAAATGATGTGAGCATAATTTGATGAAGGAATTTGAACTGATATTATTATTCTGGAAAAAAAAAAGAAATTCATTAAAGAAATTGTAGATGAATGAGAAATAAAACCTGTTCATTCATTCGATTCGTTATTTTTCTGGATGAACCACCAACAGCTGTTGAAACATTCCAGGAGAATCGTTTCAAAATTCCAGGCGGCAAATTTGTTGGTACCTTCGGCTTAGTAATATCAATACCATCTGATGTATGATAACGTCGTTCAAAACGACGTGCATTTGACATCTACAACTAATTCAGAAGTAAATATTCAGTAGATTTTTTAAATTTAAAAAAAAAAAAAGAAATCCCTAACTTTCAATACTAATATCACTCCCTAAATCAAAAACACCTAAAGGATAGTGTAAAATTTGCTACATTTTTTTATTATTGATTTCTGAACTACTACAACTAATCAAAAATTAGCTTCCTACAGAAATATAATTCTACCATTTCGCAAACTATAGCAATAAACAACGTAAAAGAGAGTTACCTGAGAAGATGATAATCCAGCACTTTCATCATTTGCATTAGCTATGATAGTTGAAGGTGAGGAAGATCGCACCATTTCATCTTGTCGTTCAGCGATTCGTTGCTCGGAAAAATCTGGGCTACTATCTAAGGTACCTTGGGATGCACGATGATCACCACATCTTTCTCGATGTTCCAACGATGTGGATGGTGGCGTATCACTGACATATGCATGTTCTTTATCATATAAATGAGTGGAAAATGCTAACTTCGATGAATTATTCGAGGAAATCCTGAAAAATTAACCAATCAAATATATCAAATTATTGCTCATATACATTGTCTAAAAAATTAATGTTAAAAAATAAATAAATAAATAAATAAATAGATGAGTAATAGGAGAGATATCAAATGAAATAATAATATACCTATCATTAACAGCATTAGTTGGTCCGGAAGAATTTGATCGTGATCGACGATGTACATTTGGTGATTCCAAATGTTCGACAGATTTCGAAGCAAAATGTAAATCTGTGGATGATTTTGATTGACCATTTAATGTTGTGCTAACTAATGATGGTAATGAACGATCATCATTGACCACAACAGCTAATTTATGATGTGATAAAGAATTATTTTTAATATTGCCACAAATTCCACTACCAACATTTTGTCCTTCTTTTAATAATCGATCAATTTGATCTGCTGATGATACGGTATTCACTTTTCGTACATCGAAAAATTGACAATTTATTAGAGATAAATTTTATTTTACTATCTTTAAAAGGTAAAATTAATGAGGAAATATATTTGTTATTGCTTTTTCCTTTTTTTTTCTCTCTCCCTCTCTCTCTCTCTCTTTCTCTCTCTTTCTCTCCCTCTTTTCGTATCATTCCAATTGATTATTGTGAAAATTGAAATTGAAACATACTGGCAATACGATTATGTTCAGCAATCATTTGAGAATCCATACTGGAACTTTTTCGATGTATAATCTCTTGATTGATTAAATCTTGATTACTACCACTACTATTACTGGAACGATTATGATCTGTATCATCGTTTAATCCAAACTCATTATATAATCCCATCGAAATACCTAACAAACATTGCTGCGGACTTAAAGGCCTAAAAAAAGAGATGAATAGAATTGTGTGTATTAAAAAAAAAAATTACCAATTTAACTTTTACGTATAATCTTTCATTCTTCCCTCCTTTTCATAGAAATTTTTTCAAATGAGAAATAAAAATAATTATACTTCAAGCGATAAAAATCCCTTAGCGCCATATTAGTCATTTCAAGCCATTTTCGGGTTTCCTCAATTGATGGAGTCGATAGATAGTATAATGCTGATGGCATACCGAAATCGTTAATCGGTGCTATTACAAAGCCAGCTGTAAAATTTATCATTATCTCTTCTCAATTTCTATCTTTCTCCATCCTTCAATTTCATAATAATTTTATTTCTCATCCCATAATGATATCCACAATAAATTTTAGGACAAATAATACAATTTATTTAAATTGATCAATAAAATTTTACTCCTTACTGAACAGTTCAGGTGATAAGTAATTTTAATAACTTTTGCAAGATATGTAATAGCATAAGAATAAGAAAAGACCAAATTGATTAATTATTTTCCTAAATGATAAAAGATTAAATGATAGAAGTTAGGAGTACATTGAGTAAGTTGTAAAATTTTTAGATAGGTAAATTAGAGAATATTTCAAAAATTTACCAAAAAATTTTTCCAGATTTTGATAGAAATTTTAACAATAATCACTTGGATTTTTATGAAATTAAAATAAATCAAATAAATGAGAGAAATATTAAAAAAAAAATAGTTAAAAATATTTAAATATGAAAATAAATTCAGTTATGGGACTTACAGTAGTCGGGAAATCGCTGAAGGCACATTTTAGCGATATGTATTGGTGGCTTAAGTATTCTTAGTCGATCATAACGTTTGTTTGAAGCTTTACAAATGAGGAAGAGATCGGTGAATAGAATGCAATGTGCATCAACCTAAGATAAAAAATATATGTAAAATTTGTTCGTTTTAAATTTAAATAATGAAATAAATAAGTTCACAATTTAAATAAAACCTTTGTTCCCTGTTTGCCATCTTTCATCTTTAAATCAGCACGCAAATAAACACGACGAAATTGTGGTTGTCCCACAAAATATGGCATTGGATCAGCCAAACGAATATAACATTTAAATGGAAAAATCTGAAATTAAATTTCATTTAAACAATTGCACGGTATAATTAATTGATTGACCAAAATTAGCATAAATATTACGAAAAAATATAAAGCGAGAGAAAAATAAATAAATGAACTGAAAGGGCAAAAAAAAAAAGAAAAAACAAAACTCTTTGATAAAATTAAGTGGTTTATCAGCACATTAATGCTAATTTTATCATGTATTTCCTTCATTTCCGTGATTTTCTCCAGTAAATGTATTTACATTTTCATAAAGTGACGATTAATGAAAATAGAAAGTCAGCTGAAGATGGAAAATTGAAGTAAAAATGATAACATTATCGTCATCCAGGAAAGGAGAAGAGAAAACTAAAACATTATAAGTTGATTAATTAAAACCATTACTTACTTTTTCGAATTCTTCACAGTCAACAGCCTCGTAACTTTCAATCGCTTTCGATAATTCATTGAGTTTATTTTGTAAATCATTGTTATTCAATGTTTCTTCAACATTTCGTGTTGCTTTTTCAATGCGTACTATCATATCCTGAAAATTTGAAATTTTCAGGATATGTCAATAATATATTACAGTAAATATTGAGATCTAAAATGTTAAGTCAAAGTTTAACTTGTATGACTGATTTCAGAACATTTCGAAATTTATAGCATTCTAAAGATTAATAAAAGTAATTTATCAACTTCGTTTCTTAATGATACCTAAATTAAATTTGTCAAGCAAATTAGATGGAAAAATTAATGAAAATATAACAAAATCAAAAATTTATTGATCAATAAATGAGTCAATTTAGCTAAGCTAAACAATAATTTGTGATAATCATTATTATTTAAATGTAAAAATAATTAAAAAAATAAATATAATAGCATAATACCTGAACAGTTTCCCGTTCAGTATCATCAACAGTATGCTTGAGAACAGCTTTAAGGAGTAAGCTATATCTCGTAAGACGTTGCATCGGATTCGTTAAAGCGTCTAATAAACGTTGTCGCCTCATCGTATCTTGCGATTCTGCCCACTAAACAACCAAGAGAAATTTCGAATCAAGAAAAAATTTCAAATAAAGAAAATTGATTATGTTATTTTCACTGAATTAAACAGGAATTAAATTACTCTTGAAAAATTTATGAATTCTTAAAATGTTAAGAGAAAATTTAATTGTGATAAATTTGAAGCGTTATGTGTTTTTTTTTTTATCAATCTTCCTTTTAATTCATATTTCATTAGTTTGAAGTATTTGATTAACGAATCCGGTAAAGATGTGATGAATGTATATAATATTTAATTGTATACATATAATGTATTATTAAAAATTTTTGTGGAACAATTTTTGTTCCATAAAAATTGTTCAAATGAAATTCAGAACTGAAATAATATAATACCGTAACAAATTCACGAAATAGTTCATTTTCTTTTTGACATTTCTGCACGTAGCTATGACAATCAGCATGTCCATAAATGAAAGTTGTATAACAAGGCCACCATTCATCAATTCGTTCAAAACCGGATTTCAGGATTGCCGGGTCAAGTGGAGTGCCATTATTTCTGAAAAAAGAAGCAAAATTTGGTGATTATATTATCATCAGTATTTACTATATTTTCAAATAAATAGCATTTTTTTTTTTCATAGACAAATAGCAGGAGAGTAAAATTAGGGGTTATTAAATATTTTCAACAATTACCTTCCGAATGTATTATATTGAATATGCGAAAAAAAATTGAATAAATTATTTGGAGGAAAAAAAAAACCTTGAAGTTTGCAGCATTGGTAGCACCGCTTTCTTCCAAAATTTCGAATTATGAACATAAAGTTCGGGATAATTAAGAAAGACGCGACGCGGATCAATATCACGCATATAACCAATTTCTTGCATTTTTAGAAACCATTGACAAAGTTCATTCATTTGTTTTAGAAGCTTAAAATAGTTTTCAATTTTACGCTTGTAAAATTGAACAATAAAATTCTAGAAGTTTATTCGTTTGTGCTCATATTTAGAATAGTTCAAATTTAAAATTTTATTTCTACTAATTTTAAAATCTATTGTTATTATTCGTGCAAACAAACACATTTTTCTAATTTTTTGCTAAATTAAATCTTCAATTTTTTCTCTGAAAAAACTATCCTACCAAATATTCATAACTAATTCTTTAGAAAATATTCAAAAAAAACTTTTTTTTTTTTTTTAGAGAGAAAAAATTGATAACGAAAAGATTAGTTGCCTGCAAATATCGATGTTCCGTTGTAACAAATTCCCAAATGGCTTCCTGCTGTTCATAAGCATGTTTGCTTAATTCATCCTATAATTTTGACAATTTAAATAAAACAAACTGAACTTCCCAGCTATGTAATAATAAAATCCTGTGAGAATTTTTTCTTTTGATTAATTGATCAAGTTCTGACTGACAGAAATAGTAATAATATCTTTTTAGTTTATTTTAAAATTTCACAAAATTAACTCCAATAATGCTTTGATATATTATCTTAGCTAACACAAATCATTCTTATATTGTAATAAAAGCATTTTAAATTCAAATTTTACAAATAAACTTACGCTATCATGAACAATATTTGTCCAGTGAGGTTCAAGTTCGAACATTGGTACTGACTTTTGCACTTCATCTTTTAGCAAAGTTAAACGTGTAAGCATTTC